TGTGCTATGCTAGCTTATTTAGTTTATTTTATTGTAAAATTTCAAGAATTGGGAAAGGAGAGGAGAGGAGTGGAGGTGGGATCTCAAGAGGCTGTGCTTTCCATCCTGTTCCACCCAGGAACCTGCCTGCAGGGGAGGAGTTGAGGTAGACATATCGCAATATCACTGATCTTGACCAATGCTCCAAAAGCTTGCTAGCAAATGGCACTCACCCCAGGATGTGAGACATAAAGTGGAAAGAGGCCTCGTTCCACATTTCTCACCTCCTGGCAGCAGGGGCAGCTGCCTAGATCTTAATTTGGATGTACAGCCATGAAGTACCTGGAGATCCTCCTTGTAGCATCTTCCCCAAAGTGGAAGACGGTGTGGAAACTGTAGAATGGGAGGAGGAACCACAGTGAGCAGGGGCAGAGTTGGAAGCTGAGGATGGACCTGGTCCACCAGCAGTTGGGCTGGAAGAGCCTGGAGGAACCCAGAGGAGAGCCTCTCCTACCAATGCTGATGTGCCGGAAGAGCGCAAACCGAGGGCATCTGACATGGCACCTCATGGCACCAACCAAAGCGATAAGAGGACACAACTCTGAGCGGTTTAGGCACCGGACTGAGCAGCAATGAGGCAGAGATGGCATGGTCACCTCCGACATGAGAAACACAGAAACAGTGCAAGTCAGAAGGGGCCTCCCGGGCCATCTAGTCTGACCCCCGGCTCCAGCCGGCTTCACTCACAACATGCCCACCATGTGCACGTCCAGCCTATCCTTGAACACCTGCACCGATGGGGCCTCAACCACCTCCTGTGGAAGCCCATTCCACACCCTCGGGGTCCTGACTGTCAGGAAGTGCTTCCTGGCATCCAAATTGAACCTTGGCTCCCTGAGCTTTGCTCCATTGGAGCACGTCCTGCCTTCCTCTGCAGGGGAGAACAGGTCTCTCCCCACCTCCCTGTGACACCCCCTCACATACCTGTATGTTGCCAACAGGTCCCCTCTGAGTCTCCTCCTCTCCAGGCTGAAGAGACCCAGTTCCCTCAGTCTCGCATTGTGTAGGAGCAGGTGATGATGGCCAGAACTGCATCAATAGTCCAACAGGTGCAGCCTGCTTCAAATGGTCACACCTGCACCTTCCATGCGAACTTCCTTTTCACCCTTTCCACTATTCAGCATGGCAAGATTTTGTGACTCAGACGCACTCCATTAGTGCTACCAACACCACCAGCGCCCGTCCAATCGCACCGGGGGTCGGGCTGGGCCCAAATCCCAGGACCACCACCCAGTTCCTGGGGGTCTCCTCAACCAGCCTTCCCACAGCTGCCCCTTCCTGGACTACCGGTCACTCCAGAGCATCCTTGGGAAAGCCCCGCGAATCTGCCCACAGCAGTGCGAGGAAATATTGGTTCCACTACAAAGACTATAAGAGATACCTGGTGCCAAGGTATGAAAGGGATACATAAGTGGGAGAGGATGTCTTTAACTTGAACCTGTAACAGAGACTCCTCATGCCAATTCTTTATGCTACACTAACGATTCTCCATTGCCATTATTCCCCTTCAGTTGCTTCTCCTTCTCCTTTCCAATGTCTCCTTTGGCCATGCAGGTCTCTGGAGTGGAGCTGGAGGAGGTCCTGGTGTATCGGCTAAGATTTCCTGCCTCTTGGGCAGGGTGGGGGGGATGTTTTTGTTTGGGAGTCTTGTTAGCCGTGTCTCTTTGCCTGATCTGCATCCGTTTCACATGCCAACTGAAAATGTGGTGCGTTTCATCTTCAATTGTACAACAGTTTTCAACACTTTATAGGTATGTTCACTGGTTTATCACATGGAAGCATTCCTGTGTAATCTAGCTCCCGCACTGAAAGGTGATGCCTTACCAATTTTGAACTAAACTGCATGAGCAAAGGAAAGGAAAGGAAATCAAGCATCCTTGCATATGCAGCTCTTCCTCCTCCTCCCCCTTCACATTGTTCTCTCCTTGCATCATAAAACTTGAGCAAGGAGAAGAGTTTTTAAAATGGTGAATCCAACCATAATTCTAGATGTGGTTTGGATTACAATGCAAGCTAGTCTCCAGAGATAAGCCAGTACTGAAGAGCCACCTATGCATGGAAAATGGATTGTTTTTGCTCCGGATTCTCTGAATCCAGTGCCAGTTCCTCAAATTGCATGTGCAAGGGCCGGAGATCAAAGCAACTATGGTTGCGCGGGGGGGGGGGGGAGACATGCCACTCGCTGCAGCCAGCACCCGATTACGTTGTCTGCGGCTTTGGAGACAGAGAAAATTGTGTGAATGCTTCATCCGTGGCTGAGCGACTAACTTTGGACAGATGTTCTCTGCTGCTCCTGGACTCTTCTGTACGAAGAGGCAGAATGGATTCCTTGGACGGACGTGGAGTTTTAGTTCGCCTGCCTCCCTGCCTGCCCAGTCCCTGCTTTGAGATTGTCGTTTCAGGTTGCTGGGCAAACCTAAGGGCAGGTTCATGAGTTTCCAGGGCCAGACAAGGGAGGGGGGAGACTTGGCAGAGGTCCTGGGACCAGGGAAACAGAACCCAAGGTCGGGAGGGGCATAAGCGCCATCGACAGCTGCTCAGAGCAGAGCTGTGGTCAAGAAGCAGCCCAGAAGCAGCACGTCAGAACAAGGGCACAGCTGAGGCAAAGGTCCAAGATGGGGAAGACAATTTATTTATTTATTTTTCGATTTCTATCCTGCCTTTTTCCTACAAAGGGCTCAAGGCAGCTTACATCATTCTCCCCCTCCATCTTATCCCCACAACAACAACCCTGTGAGGTAGGCTGGGCTGAGAGCCTGCGACTGGCCCAAAGTCACCCAGTTGGCTCCCTGGCTGAGCGGGGACTTGAACCCAGATCACCTGAGTCCCAGTCCCACACTCTTAACCACTACGCCACACTGGCTCACAATCAGGGCAGGGGGCAAGTATCTGGGGCAGGGCAAACCAGGCAGGGTTCGGACTGGCGGAAATGCGGCAAAGGCAAGGCGAGGCTGGGGCAATTCTGGGTGAAGAAGCAATCGCTAAGGTTTTTCAAACATTGTCTTGGCACTTGCATGATTCACATGCACTTTTGCAACAGCTGGGGGGAAATTGGCAACGTGAGAGCTGGAGTTGGTGGGGTGGTTGGTTACTGGGGACCTGGGAGATCTGTGTCCGAGTCCCCACTCGGAGCTGGAACTCCCTGGGTGACTTTGGGCCAGTCACGGACTCCCAGCTGAATCTCTCTCACAGGGTTCTTGTTGTGAGGATAAAATTGAGCTATGTAAACCGCCTTGAATTTTTCACACGAGGGAAAAAAAAGGGGGGGGGGTTCTAAATGCAATCTAATAATAATTGAGCGGATATCAAACGTGCCGATATTTTTCCACGGGCTTCAGTCCATGAGGGAAATTGGTGCAAATTAAGGCTTCTGCACATTTTGTACCCGGGAAAATTGGGCACGTCAAGCACAAATGCATTCAGTAGTTTGCTAATATTTTTGTTGGACACCCGCTCGCGCTCATGCTCCAGTCAGGGGCTTTGAGCAGGGCAGGCTGTCCTGTTTTGTTTTACAAGCAGAACCAGAATTTTCACACCTCCCCGACCATTTACAACTTGGAAACAAATGCTCAGCTGTCACTTTGGTGGTGAGGAGTTAGTGACAGAAGAACTATTACTTATTTCTCTCTCTGCCATTCCTCACTGGCACCTTTCAAAGAAGCTTTTTATAGGAGAATAAATGCAGTCTGCCTCTCCACTCCAGCTCTGTGTAGGTGTGCTTTGAAAAGACTTTCTTCCAGTGACAGGTTGCATTTGAGTTTCTACAGAAGATACCAAATTATTCCGTTTGTGCATTCTCGGTGCAAGGGCTGTTCCATCACATTTAATGGCTTGATGACTGCCTAAATTCAAAGAAGGATCCGACACTCAAAAGCTTACAGACAACACACACAAGAGAATTGCTTCACCCAGACAGATGTACTCTTCTGCGGATGCAGAAGTGGAGTGTTTAAAATCGTGCCAGTTTAACCAAGCTCCCCAGTGCTGTTAGTTCGGTGTTCTTTCAAATCATACAGGCAGATTGATCTTGGGGGGGGGGGGATGTTTTCTGCACAGCAATATAGCACATGATTTGGAAATGTGTGCGCAGGTATAGAAAAATAGAGACACATCCAAATTGCACCAAATATTTGAAGTGCGGGAGCTCCATTGCATTCCCTCATCCCAGTCCATCAGCTTTCTGTTCTTCTGAGCACATCAGGCTGGTGTGGAGCTGGGTCAGGGTTCCCTAAAGATTGATGCTGTTCTTCAAACTTTGATGTTGCCCTCAGGCTGCTGACACTTCCCCTTTGCCCACTGGTAGTGACCTCTGAGCCACATTTATCTCCGCAGGTTGGAACAGACAATGTTGGAAACAGAGAAACAGTGCATTACATAACATCTGACCTGCATGGAGCAAAGAGTGTGACTACCGAGCAAACTCCATGGAGGAATGGCATTTGAACCTGCATATGTTCCCCTTGTGTCCAAGTTCAGCATTTAAACCAATTTTTTGCAATGCTGATACAGTGATTCTCATTTGAAACTTCACCTACCACACAGAGAAATAGCTTTTTGCCTGGATCTGGGGTCTCCCTTAAGGCGATTCCAGATTCTCTGGACAAAGCCCTTGAGCCTTCAGTGGTCCTTCTTCATTTTAATCTCTTTTCTGTCTAAGGGCTCCCCTGGAGCTTGGCAATGTGGGAATTAATGCATGCTTGCATATTGGAAAACAAAACAGTTTAGGCCAGTTTGCAAGGGCTGATGAAGGCGCAATGCAACGAAGCTGGATGGTCACACATCCCGCATTCCTGCTTTAGGTTCACCGAACTTGCTGAAAGGGCCAGACAAATGTAATAATGATGGGGGGGGGGGTGGGAATAGCAATTCCCCCCATTTCATTTTAGCTCAGCAGATGACAAACCCAAAGCTGCAGTTAAAAGATATGGGGAAGCCACATAAGATAACTGTAGTTCTCTTACCTCTGCTACTCGAGTACAGAATTACAAGGGCCACGACAGCACAGGTCATGAGGACTAGCAACACAGACAGACTGAGAGCTATCAAGCTCCAGGACTTCTGTCCAGATCTGGTTGATTTTTCCACAATATCCATTTGGCTTTCCGATTTCCCCATTATGGTCACTCTACAGGAGAAGGGGACAAAATGGTAAGAATACGTCTGGTTTTGTAGAGAGGCAAAAGTAACACAAATCCAGAAGCTATCAGAAGAAATGAAGACGGGGGAACAAAGACGACAGTAGGGCAACAGCAGAAGAGGCAGAGAAAGCAAAGGGGCAAAAATAATTACATGTATTTGTCCATTTGATTATCCACGGATTTCCCAACCTCATTCTCCATCTCCAGTGCCTGCAGCACCAGAAGATGCTTTGATAGGGAGGGCTAGCTGCAGAAACTTCTCTGTGCAAACCTACATCCAAAGGAGACGACTTTGGTCTCTTTTTCACTGGAGCATCTCCCTGATGCTCAGAGCTTTTCTCTCCAAAGAGGAGACCCGGGGAATCCCGCCGTTTCTGCTAAAATCCAGCGAGCGGAAGCCAGGTCCTGACGGATGCTCAGACCACCCGTGTGCTCAGTCACCCTTTAGCAGAAGATGTGGCCACTGCCGGGCATGTCAAGGCTGAGGACGAGCTGCCAGCTTGCTGCCGCACCAGGATCTGGAACTGCGAGTCTCTCCGTCTTCCCAAGTCCATGCCAAAACTTCTCCACTCAGCCCTGCGTGGCTGCTTTCTTCCGGCGAATGACCCCAAGCAAAAGAAGAGGGAGGAGGAGGAGGAGGGAGGTGGGGAAGGAGGGTGTGGAGGGAGGAGGGGGAGGAATCTCTGTTCTCCCCCAATCACACACCACATAAACAGCAAGCAGGAGAGGCAGGAGAAGGTGGGAGGGGAGACAGATAATCTGCGGGCTTCTCTCTCACTGTCTTAGATGGATGCACTAGCCTCCTTCTCCAGACGAGCAAACCTGTTTTTTTCAATCAGGCTGCAGTTGGAGGGGGTGGGGGGTGGTGGCTGTCTACTGAAATCCTACAGGGGTGAGAAGCAAAGGAAGGGAAGCAAACAATCTGGAAAGACATCGTTCATCTCTCCGTGCCTAGGTTGGAGAAGGCAGCGATGCTCTGTGCTTTTCGCTGTCCCCGTGCCAAACTTTCGAGCCACCCTCTTCACATTCTCCTCTGCTTTTGCAGAAATGAGCAACGGATAGGGATTGAGGGCACATGATACACGGAAAGGGCACACAGGGATACCTGTATAACCCCAGGGCATTTTCTGTGAGCATGTTTAGAAAGATGGACCACAACCCCCAAATGGCAGAGAAAACCATCTTCTTTCCTTCCTAGGGTGGCTGCGAGAAGGGGTGAGAAACAGAAGAGCCTGATCTATTTTCTCAGGGGGAAAATGGGCTTTGGTGAAATTGTAGCTGAGCTCCAAATGAGCATCGCCATTCCTCAGGTTTCTGAAAGCTGTCTGTGGGAATCTATGCCACTCCTTTATAAGGCGCGAGAGTGCGGATCCGTTCAGCCCAGTATCCTCTCCCCCTTGGGGTTTTCCAGTTTCCCAGGCAAAACCAGCGTGTATTTCCATCAGACAATTCTGACGGCTGCACCTGGCATCTTTTGTATGCAAAACACATGCTCCATGCTTGCATTATCCCCACTCGCTGTGGGATCGCTGAAGGGCAGGTAACGGCAGCCACATGAAAGGAAGGAGGGTGGAACAAACAGAAAATAGAGACATTTTTGTCTGGCAGGGAAAGGGCGGCAGATGGACCTCTCTGGAGTGAGCATTCCGACATTGGGATCTCATCCAGCACGGAGACGGCCCTTTTTCTTGGTGTTCGGAACTCATCGGCAGACCCATATGGAGACAGACGGCAGCCTGGCTCTCTGGCACATCACATCACACGATGTTGCCACGTTACAGCTGTTCAAACACTCCCCTGTAGAGCTCCTTGTGCCCCCTCCTTTGGGGGACCCGAGGCCCTGCACTGACCCGGGAAAGTTCTGCTGGCCATTCCCACAAGGGGCAGCAGGTGCTGTTCTCTGGAGCAACCACTAGAGGGGGCAGTGGTGAACTTTCCTGGTGGGCGGGGGAAGTTCAATTCCCAGCTTCCTGAAGTGGGGGCGCTGTTGTATTTTGTGTGCAGGCTGTCCCAATAGGTCTTCACCAACATGACTGACGCCAGCTGTGAGAAATGTTGGGTGGATTCTCAGCTTTTGCATATTTTGGAATATCTCTTCTAAGGCTTAGTTAGTATGGGCTTTAACCAAAAATATGCCGGTCTCTTTGTCCCCAACCCCTTTGCTGGTATCTCTTGCTACTGGAGTGCAACTCCAAAGAGCTTACCCAAATTGAAATTCATTGCTGCTTTTGATGATGCTCATCTTTCTTAACCTGCTGCCCTTCAGATGTTTTGGGTTCCCAAATTTTGGCAGTGCTGTCTGGAACCTGCAGGGCACCAAGCTGGAGAGAGTTGAGTCACACTCTGACCCTAAGACCAGACATCCCCATTCTCAATCCAAAGCCATCTTGGATTAAATAGAGTCAAGTGCTAATTCCCCACCAACCAACAGTTTCACCTGCTGCTTTCACTCCCATGTAAAAGGTACAGGCTACCTATATTTTCTCTCCTTTGGAGTTCAGCTTTGGACATTCTTTTCCTGTTTGATGGGGCTTTGCTCTTTGAAAAAGAAGCCAAGTTGATGTTTTCAATATCTATTTAAAAACGGGTAGAAGCAGAAGCTGTAAATGACATTTTTGCAGAATAATTTATCCTGGTGATCTTGAAGGAACTGCGAGTGGCCATTTGGAATAGGTTAATCAGTCTTCCTGGAGGGTTTTCAACAGTCCATTAAGATCCTGAAATGCTTAGTGTCTTGCTTGAGGAAGAAAGACTAACTTTGATCTAAGATGACATCGGTTTTACACTGCGTATTGCTATCAGTATATTGTGTAACATAATTACTAAGCAGGGATGGGAATTCATTTCAGAACGATTGTCAAATTAAACCCCAAGGGTGCATTAGGTTGAACTTTCCTTTGTTCCAAAAGTAACACACTGAGAAATACACTAATATAAATTCAGTGTACCCAGTTCCTCTTCTCTCTTCTGTTCATCATTCCCACCTTCTCTTTATTTAATCCTCTTCAAAGGGTATGCTCTCCATCTGGGCTTCCAGAATTCCTGTTCTAGGTTTGAATTTCCTTTTGATTTCTCAGATCTTCTGGAAAGAGTCTGTTGTTGTGTTTCCTTTGTTGTTCTCTTCCATTTCTTTGCACTGGCCATAAAGGAAACCACAAATCTGAGATTTTAAGAGCTGAGGGGGGTCATCAAGGGAAGGACTTTTGGAATGCATTCTTGCATAGGATTGTCATAAACTGGAAATAACTTGACAGCATGGAGCCCCAAAAACAGAACGCTGCTTTGATTTGGTCCTGGAGTTGGTCCATCAGAAGACAACCTGCTTCTTGAACAGCAAATGAAATGTGGAAGGACATGAAAAAGCTGGATGCAATGCGTTGCGGGGATCCCCCAGTTCTGACTCACGGAAAGCTGATCCGAAATCCGGCCCATAAGGTCTTTAGGGCCCGTACAACATGCTCTCTGCAAATATGTGAGGATGGAGGATTGAGCAAAGTAGTGCCAGGACCAGACAATTTTAGTTAGGCAAATCAGCCATGCTCAAGTCCAGCCCCCATTCCAACCCGCCCCCCGTTCGACAACAGGAGGACATGCGACACTAAAGCCACACCTGTTGCCACCTGTGGGGTCAGGGGCTGCATCTATGATGTGGATGCGAGGGGACACAGGCACTCCTCCCCACCCTCACCAGAGAGCCAGTGTTGCATAGGGGTTAGAGTGTTGGATTGGGACCTGGGAGGTCCAGTTTTAGTCCCTGCTCAGTCATGGAGCTCAGTGGGTCACTTTGGGCTGGTCGCAGCCTCTTGGCCTAGCCTACCTCACAGGGTTGTTGTTGTTGTTGTTGTTGTTGTTGTTGTGAGGATTCAGTGGAGAAGAGGAAAAAACTTGTAAGCCACTCTGAGCTCCTTGAAAGAGGGGAAAAGGGTATAAATGTGATGTGATCGTAATAAATAATAATATTGACTCCACACAGGGCATTTGAATGAGGAGACTTAACCCCCCCACAAGATCTAGGGAACACCATGGGCTCCCCTCTCCAAGCCTGGAGTGATCTCCAGAGAAAACCAAACCAGCCAACTTTTCCACAGGGACACTGTGAGTTGAGAGAAACTTCCAACTTTCTCGACCCCCGGTGAGGTCAGACAAAGCTGTGGGGAGAGTGGGTGAGTTACCCCCAGCTCTCTGGGTCACCCCAGGAGCATGGCAAGTATCCCGCAGGCTTCTGGAGAGCACCTGTTCTCCAAGCTCACTTGCCGGATGGAGGAAGCACCGGCAGGCTTTCTGCTGTGCCAGTTGGTCACGGCCGAGGAAGCTCCAACATGCGCGTATTTATTCTGGCACGGGGGACCAGCCTGTTTTGGGTGATTGTAGTCTGTGCAGTACAACAAACAGCCCTTGCTGATAGGTCAAAGTGATCTTTAAAGCCACCCGCAGCCCCCTGAATGGGCAGCCAGCTTTCCGCCTCAACGTTCCCCTTAAAACGGCAAAGCTCCCAGCCTTGTGGGTACATGGGAGCCAGCGTGGCGTGGTGGTGGCCGAGTTGGACTGGGGACCTGGGTTCAAGTCCCACTTTTCCATGAATCTCCTCGGGTGATTTGGGACCAGTCACAGACGCTCAGCCTGAGCAGGCTGTTATTGGGATAAAATGGAATTAAGGAAGCTACCTTGAATTCTTCACGAGAGGAGAAAAGGTGGCATATAAATGTCAAAAGCAAGATATACATTTAATGCACTAGTAATCATTCCAGTGTACCTAGAGAGTCAGTGCATCCACACAGTGCTGGAAGGCAGGTTCACAAGCGGGTGTTTAGCAATTAACTTGGGGTTTTAACAGTTTAAAGTTCATTGCTGCTCAGTTTTTGAACTGAACCTTTTTCTTTACACTGCCAGTTTTTGTAGCTTTTTTGGGCATCTTGTACTGCACTGTACTGGTTTTTTATGGTTTTAATTGTATTAGTTGCTGTTGCTTTAGTTGATTTAGATGTTTTATTGCTGCTTAGAGAGAGGTGTTGGGGTGGCATATAAATGCAATATGTAAATAACTAGATTTAGCCCGCATGCTTGGAATTCAACTCTTTTGTGGGGTGATAAGGTTAGAAAATTGGGGAGCCCGCAAGGAAGGAACAAGGATGCAAAATGGGCTAGGCCATGTGTTTGACAGAGGCAATGCATCTCTTCAAAAGAGAGTTGCTTTTGGCATTGGTGCCACTCTTGCTTCCAAGAGTCCTCTCTCAAAACACATTTGACATTTGCAAAGCATCGAATGGATAACTTCATCAAAATATGAAGAGCTAAGCCAAGCATAGATGCAACAAATCAAGAAACTGGCCAATAAGATGATCTCTCTCTCTCTCTCTCTCGT